ATAATTATATTTGTCAATGTTACCAGAGTCAAACCTGTAAATATAATAAAAATTGTCCTCAAAATTTGAGGAATTCAATCAAATCAATAAAGCGATAAATTAGATGGGTTATCTTATTGGTTTCCCTGCTAGCAGAGGCTTACACGGTAAATTCTGTCACGTAAAAGTAACAGAATTTACCGTGTAAGCCTCTGCTAGCAGGGAACTTATTGGTGTTATAAATCTTGAAACAAAATCGAACAATAAATTTGAACAGCAAACATAAAAAAAATTCTATGAAACAGATTGGGGATAAAGACTGCTAAGCAGGGCTCGTGTAGCCTGATTTTCTGATAGGGCTTGGCTAGTGTTGGACCCAGGTCATCTGAAAATCTRGCTAGGGGGTCATGCTGCTCCTTGAAAAACCCCTTGAAAATTGGGAAAAAACGATTAAAAATCCTGCAAAAACTCATTGCATTTGATGTGATATACCTTATAGCATGGTACATTGTAATGTAAAACTCGTTTCCAGTAAGATCTGGGAACATCAACTGATATTTGAATATACATCGCAACACAAAGAAACCCAGCCTATAAATTCCATTTAATAGTACATTAATTGCATAATGGAATTACATTACTACAACTACCAAAAAGCCATGCACATACTTATTTCATTGTAATTTAGACTTGATCCCTTAGAAGGAAGTTAGTAACACAATTGGCACTAATTGCATTACAAAAGAAAGTTGGCAAAGCATTCTGGTAGTTGTATTTAATGGCACCATATACAAAATGTTTCCATCGAATATATATAGACTTAATCAGCTAATGCATTGCTATAAACGTTTCCACCCAATTCAAACTACCCGGGAGTGAGTTTTGAGATTTTAATTGGGTGGTAACRTACAAAGCAACGCGTAAGCCAATTTGATCTATTTGAGTCACCAGAGAGTAAGATTTATAATTATCTTTATTTCATCTTAATTTATTAATCCGGAAATAAATCTTCATACACAGCTGATGCATAACAGTTAAATCTTTTAATAATGTTGTACAATAATACATTAATATACAAGACTGGTTTGGTTTATCTTGGTGCCTTATGCAGGCAACTACGCACACTACATACTAGGAACACTTAAAATACAACAGAGTTGATCATTGCTCCTAAGCACTGTACAATGTTGGACGTCATGACTACATCAACGTTCTCTTCTAGATGTCGTTTTGGGTCCTGAAAGAGGGAAAATAAATGATGAGATAGAAAGACCACATGATGTGAAGTGACGTCAGACTACTAAGGGGACTTTCATTTATTAGGCAAAATTATATACATCTCTGTCTGAAAACATATAACCACCCCCAGCACTGCATGTTATAAATTGAAATCACAACCCCTTTATTGTAAGATTATTTCAGTAGCTATTTCATTTTCACAACGTATAACAGATGTTAGTTCACATCAGCATCGTAGTGGTGTGATGCAACTTGTCACGTAACGCAAAATTCTTCAGGCAGTATACGTTTTTTTCAAGCTACCTGTTTTCGCGAATTCCAATCCGAAATTGCGAAACGTCATCAAAACGTTCATGACCTTGATGAATACTTCCGCGAATAAATAAACCAGGCGCGTAGCGTGGACGTTTTGGCTAGTACGCACATGTCAGGGACCGCGACACATATATTGGATCTTGTAAGGCGGGAGTATTAAGGGAGTCTGGACCTCCCCCAGGAAATTTTAAAATAATAACTCTTGGAAATGCGATTTCCAGCGTTTTGAGAGACATCGAGAGCATATAAAAGGGATCGATTTCATGTGAATTTTTCAGTAATTTTCGTGAAAAATTTAATATTTCCTTGCCACTAGTACGCACGTGCGTATATGCGTAAAAGACGCTACGCGCCTGAAAACGTGACCTTTACATCTAAAAAGTATTCAAAAAAAATAACGCAAACACACACAAAAAACGATAAATAAATAA